TTACTCAACTTTGATACATAATGATTAAATTTTTTTGCGTTACCTTTCTAACGATTCAAACGACACTCGAATCAGACACCCGAAACAAAAGTTATGAATTAAAAAAAATCACAAAATGGTCCCAATGTAACTGGTTACTCAAAATGAGGTAACCGGTTACACCCCTTGTAACCAGCTACTGCCACGCAAAATATACACAGTGCAAGCGGTTACCACAATCAGAATAACTGATTACCCCCTCACAAATTTATCCAAAAACACCATTTTTCAACAATGTAACCAGTTACCTCTTTCTTGGTAACCGATTACAGTAGGAGAAGCATTTTTCAACTGCTTATCAGTACAAAAATCATTTTTTAATATGCCCCAAAATCCCACTTTTTATAAAATTCGTGTAACACATAGTTTTACTCAAAAATTAGTTTTCATAAACATCAAAACCCCAATTATTCTCCTCGAAAACATTCATAACCTGAGTTCCGACTCTGACTCACAATCACACAACAAACAACATCAACATCATACAATTCATCAACCACATGATCTCAATAGCAAAAACTACAATAATGTATCATACTAACATTAGCCACAACATCAACATACCACTCACAACATTCATCAAGAAATTCATCGAATCCAACAATTACCAATTCATCAAAATTATGAATAAAGAGAAGAAAAACACAAACCCTACATGGCATAATCTACCCACCATCATCATGTTAACCCTTAGATAACTAGAACGTCACCCTTGCCTTAGAGTTCTTGCAAAAAGCTTCACAACAATGGAATCTACTCTTTTCCTTATGCCCTAACCGCTTCTTTCTCTTTTTCTCCCAAAACACGTTTTGATAGTTCTAACTCTCAACTATCATTTTTCCTCTTTTATTATAATATTATTATTATTACTAATTCCACTAGTTAAAATAATAACAATAATATTCACACATTAATTAATTTAATAATATCCAACTAATATTATAATTAACTAAATATCACTAATATTATTTAATTAGTCATTTTCAATACACCATCAAGTTCTACACAATTTGTCATACATCTCTCAACCCTTAAATTCTATTCTTAAGGCCATTATCCTACACCAAGGTAGCTCAAACACATCAATAGCACAACACAATCACAATTATCACATAATTAAAATACGGAGAAATTATAAATTAAGTTGGGGCATTACAACACACGCAAACAAGCACACACACACACACACACACACACACATACACAAGCATACACACACACACATATACACAAGTATACACACACACACTTACACACACACACACACACACACTTACACTTACACACACACACACACACACACACACACACACACACACACACACACACACACACACACACATATATATATATATATATATATATATATATATATATATATATATATATATATATATATATATATATATATATATATATATATTAATGCATCTTTTTCAAACAGTTGAAACCAAAGAATATACAAAACAATCTTCATCATCTTCAACCTTTCTCTATGCATACTCACAACAATTACACATAATAATTTTTGTTAGGTTCCATGTAGATTCAGGTTTGATAAGGTTCAACTTAGGATTTTTAAAGTCAATTAGGTTAAGATTACTTTGGGGGTTTCATTGATAAAACCAAATTGAGGTTTTCCCTCCAAGATCAAGTATGATTTGAATTTTCAGTGTAAGATTTTGTAATTAAGATTCAGCCGAGTGAAAGCTTTAAAGAAAGGGGTTTCTGTCAAAGAAGTAGCACAACCTATCACGGCGGGATAAATTACAAAGTCATCACCATAGTTTATTCATTTATAAGTGTCGCTACTCGAAAAGTGCAACGACAAAGAGGCGAGAATGAAAGACAGAAGAGTCGCCACCAAACTTTATTTATCCCATGAGGGGAAGGGAAAACATCGAGAAAACCCTAAGAAAGGAACAGATAAGATGGTCTCGTCACAAAAGAACAGGTTCGGAAGCCAGTTATGCAAAGGGAAGGTATTAGCACCCCTCGCATCCATCGTACTCGATGGGAACCATTTGTTTGCCTATGTGTAAAGATATTTGCTAAAGGTTATTGATTAATAAAGAATGCTCCAAGGGAGAGAGAAAGGCTAGAAACAGGGCAAAGAGAGATAAAGGGGGAGAAGAGAGACTCGCTAGGACTTTGTGGTCCTAGGCCTACGTATTCTCAACAGATATGAGAAAGTCAGAGTCCACGTAGTTCGGGAAACTACGGGTAAAAGAGGGAATATGCTCGGCAAGGATTGTGGCCCTTGTGCCTACATATCTTTACTTAAAAGAAGTAAAGAATCAGAGCAGCCGTAGTTCAACCTACAGTTTGCTGGGATGTTCGGGTAGACGATGCTAACATACGCATTCTAGCAGTCTAGGTGTATTGTTGCTCGCTCGTTGGAGACTTAGGCGTTACCTGTTTGCGGTAGAATGGATGTAGCATGTCCTTTTCGGGGAAAAGGTGGAAAAGAAAGAAGAGTGCTTGCCAAGACATCGTCATCTTGTGCCTACGTATTCTCATCTGGTATGAGACATCAGAGCAGCCGTAGTTCGGCCTATAGTTAACTGATGTTTTATGGATGATGTTATCATGCACATTCTAGTAGTTTATGTGTATTGTTGCTCGCTCGTTGGAGACTTAGGCATTACCTGTTTGCGGTAGAACGGACGTAACATATCCTTTTGAAAAAGATTGATTTTCTCCATGCAAGGCAAGATGTCACATTTAATTTGTGGGAGTTATTTTTAGGGATGAAATATGTCTTCAGATAGTAACCCCTTGCGGGTAGTACCCAATTCTTTATCTCAAAGTTTTGTTATGAAAATGGTGTGGCGAATATAGTTGCGTCTTCGTATTGAAAGACGAGTATCGAGACCATACACTCTACAACGAGTATCCTGACACTCGGAGAGGAAGAAGTTCACACTCAATCCTCTCTCTTTAGTTTAATACAAAGAGAACCTCATTCTCTTATTAAAATGTTTTTGATCTTGAATGGTAACTGCTTTACGACAGTGAACCCTAAAGGTAATGTCAAGCACTCGGGATAGGAGAAGACCTACGCCTAACCACTCCACGACCATTCAAGTTTTGTTGTGAAAAAAGAGTTTGAAAATGCACTCGGTACGAGATCGAGGTTTTAGGAGAAAAAAGTTTGAAAAGAAGTTTTGAAAGTATGTGGAAATGATAGGAGGTGAATACGAATATATACAGGACGCGGATAATATACAGAATATATAACCAACAGTCCACCAATTTAGAATTTTATGGTTTCAATATTTATTAGGTGTTTTGAGAGAATATACAAGTCAGTTTAAATATTTACAAGATATGAACAATATACAGGATATATAACAATATATACAAGAATATAATGAGAAAAATATCGACAAGTATATGAACATGATAATATTTACTGAAAAAAATAAAACAGTGTATATTTGACAGAAAAATAAAAGTTAGTCGTCAGTTTGTTAGAGCATCTTTAATGTAGGTTTTTAATAGTTAAATTTTTTATAGTTAACGATGATTATAAAGAATTTGCATTGGAATGGCTATGACATGGCATTTAATTCACTAACTTTTAGTTTCCGGCAATTATATAGCTAACGTATGCTATTTATTTTGAAACATATAATATTATTATTTATATTTTATGTATTTTATTTAAAATAATTAAATTAATGGTAACTTCAATAAAAAAATAATTACAATTAAAAATATAAAATATAGGGTCAAGTTTTAGGTTTTTATAAGCAACTATCATTAAAGTAAAAATAACTCAAATAAACTATAAATTTTTTAAATCCTACAAATCACTTTGGACCCACAAAATATCTGAGTTTACCCACTTAAGATACTCCCACTAAAGATGCTCTTAGTGAATTGAATTGGGACAAATGTAACGCTAAACCGTCGTAGTTCGACTTATGATGAAAGTCGAACTATAGGAGGTCGCGTAAATTGATATTTGTGCAAAAGAAAAGATAGAGAAATGATATTGAGGATCATTCTCCGATTTAATCGTGTCGCACAGACCAAAAAAGGTGGGATCTCGTCTTAATCGCAAACATTATGTCGATTAATCAAAGGTAGCCTATCACGATCCCAAAGTAAAGAAAATGACCCAAATGGTCATTTTCCGTAGATTTGAAATCGAGAAGGTTATCGACTTCGATAAATCGATACTTACGAATAAAAGACTTCATAGATCGAGAAAATTTAATAAAATCGAAAATGAAGAAGAAATGAAGAGAAAAAGAAGTTAGGTCTCGGGCAAACCGTCATCTATCAATAATTTGACCGATAATGGTTTTTCAGGGGTCTCGTCGTCGACCCAAACGAAATAATAATGAGAATAAAAACCTCAAAGATAAGTGAAAGCACTAAAATCTAAATTTAGAGAAATTCAATAAAAAAACTCTAAAAGCTAAAATTAGAAAACTCTTAAAAAAATAGTTTTAGAAATCATATAGAAACTTAGTTAGAAGAATTTTATATATAAAAAAACTCTAAAAAATTATTAGAAAAAATATTATGAACTCCAAAAACTAATTTAAAATAAATATTAAAAATTCTAAAATTAAAATGAATTAAAATTCTGGCAAACTAAGTTGAGAATAAATATAAAATCTAGAAAATTAATTTTACAAAAATTCAATAAAACCTAGAAACTGATTAAACAAAAGGGGGTGTGTTAATATATGTGAGATAAGGAGAAGGAGGTGTGAATCCTAAACTAATTATGGGTTGAGCCCATTGTGTCCATATCTTACAAAAATAAAATAAATAAATAAGTAAGAGAAAAAAGAAAGTCAACAAGCTACTGATACCTTTTCCTTCTTATTGATAAGAACACCATCTGGTATTCCAAGGCCTTTTCCACCATCAAGCATTGTTCTTAGAGTGGTGTGGTTCTGAGTATACCAATCACCAATCATGATGAAAATTTCACCGTCCGACTACACAAAAGGAATCGGTACAATGACCCTATTGTTAATAACAAAAGGACCAAAACCACAAGAAGTTCGTTGGAAATTAGTATAAGGGAAGTAAAAGAAACTCCCTATTTGATCCTTGACTTGAAACCCATATGTCCAATTCCACTTTGGAGGAATCGAACAATTCTTTCCAAGAACTCCATCTTGCCACGAATCACGCCGCATCTGAATCCCAGGCCATGTGATGAGTAGTTCTTCATAAACAGTAGGATCACCCGAAAAACAGAGGGTGGAGAACAGAGTAATGTGAAGGAAGTAAATTTTGAGAGAAAATTGAGAGAGTCTGAAGAGACCCATTGTTGGAAATGTAATAGTGTAACACGAAGGTATTTGGTGGGAGGAATGAGGATTATAGACGAAGGGGGCTTTCTGGGTTTCACGAGAGCAGGATAATGAATGTGGATTTGGAGGTTTGAGAATGGAAGAGGACAAAGGGTGGCAGAAGTTTCAAGGAGAGGTTATGTGGGTATGAGGCGGCCGTCTAGGGTTTACCCTTGGGAGAAGATGCATAGTGTTCAAGGGGCGGCTAGGGTTGATCATTGAAGAAGACAAACAGTGTCTTCATATATACTGAAGCAACACGTGGTCCTTTTGTTTTTTATTTTTTTATTTTTTATTTTCTGATAATTAATGCATTAATTAGCTAATTAACTCTAAACTAATCTCTAATATAAAATCTAATCTAAATAACTATTCTAAACTAATTTTAATTCAAAACTAATTCAATTTAGTTAATCCTATTTTAAATTAATTAATTAATAATCTAATCCTAATTGAAATTTTAATTATTAAAAACTAATTTAATCTAAACTAATTCTAATCAATAATCTAATTCTAGTTTCTAAACTAATTAATTAAATTTAATTCTAAAATATAATTCCAATTAAACTCTAAAATTAATCTAAATTAATTCTATTTTCTAAACTAATTAATTAATTCAAATAAATACTAATTCTAATTAATTAAAAGTCTATTCTAAACTATTAAATTAAAATCCTAATTTAAAATCTAATCTAATTCTAATTAAAATTCTAAATTCTAATTTCTAATTAAAAAACATAATATAAATTCTAAATTAAAAATCAAATTCTATTTTCCTAAATCTAAATTCTAATAAAATCTATCTAAATTAGCCCTTTTTAAAATCTAATTAAAATCTACTCCTAATTTTAATTCTATTCTAATTAAATTCTAATAAAAATTCTAAATTTTAATTATTAATCTAAACCTATCTATTTCTAATTAAAAATCTAACAAAAATTCTAAGTAATTTCTAAACAAATAAATTAAACCAAAATTAACAAACGACATAAAAAACGAAAAAAAGGGGCAAACACCGAAACGCAACAAAAATATCAGCACAAACTAAACTACCAGGAAAAGCACGACTTTCGCTCGACTTCGAAATAAATCTTATCCGTCAAAACGGTTTAAACTGTCTAAAATGCGAACAAAGCGGTTGTAATTCCGATAAACCCAATCCGGCTGATAACATGGACAGTATACGAGAAATGATTGACCTAGATGATATGTAGATGAATGTGAAGCAACAACCAGTCAAAGTTAGAAAAAGTGAGGGCAAATTTTAGGGTGCAACACTAAGGAATAGGGGAAATAATGATAAAAACCTTAAAGGAAAAGGATAAGACAATCATCGCAACTGAATATGGGTTTGGGAGTCAGTTAAGTGAGGGGAAGGTGTTAGGCACTCCTCATTTTTGTTGTACTCAACGAAAATCTTTTCTAGCCTAGAATTTAGTGTGTTTGTCTAAGGGAATGTTTGCATGTATCGCTTCTATTTCTTGCTTAAATGCTTTATTTATCTATTTACAAAGGAAGAGGTTTGTATAATGAGAGAGAATTAGTTAAAGTTAGTGGACTCGCCAAGACTTCGCGATGTTATGTCTATGTATTCTCATCAAGTGATTAGGAAATCAGAGTCACCGTAATTCGTAGTTTTTTGGTTGGTTAATTTTATGTAATGATGTAAGGTCAGTTTCATGAAATAAACTGTTGCGGTGAGAATAGGATATCAAATTATTAATTAATTTGAATCACAAATCTTTAGATTCACAACCAGTCTTTAATTTATCCGAAGGAAAGGTCAAAGAAAGAAAAAACCCAATTTTGCATTGTAAACATAATGCGGGGAGAGATCTAAGTTCGGGGGTTGGTTAAGCTTAGGGAAGGTATTATCACCCTAAACTTCTGTAGTACTCTACAGGAACCTCTTGTTTTAATGTTACTATTTTGATTTAGTTATCTGCTTGAGGATATATACTAAGGGTTAGAAGGTGAAAGAAACACCTAAGGGTTAGTCCTAAGTTTACTCGCCAAGATTCGCATCTTGTGCCTACGTATCCGAGGTAGGGGATGGAATCAGAGTAATCTTAGTTCCCCTTGAAAGGGAGGTTAGACACTTCTTGACTATGGTCAAGGTTTCAATGGGGAATAAGCATTCTTAAGGAAGCGCTTACGTGAGTGCGACGACTCCTGTTTCTACGTTGTATATGAATTGAATTTAAAAGGGGTAAAATAGGTATTCTACGGCGAGAAATCTAGAACGGAGTATGGCGACTCCTTATCCTAACGCTAGGGTAAAGGTTAATTTGGTTCACGGCGGGACGCCTATGCAATTAGGGTTTTGGAAAATGAAAGGGTCAAAGGTAAGGACTATTGACACGACGGTCAAACGGTTAGACCTATTCCTTCGGGGGTGAAATTAACATTGAATAATGTAAGGAAAAATAATTAAACGGTAGTATGAAAATATGGGAAAGTGCGAGAATGATAATGGGAAAAAGTGACGACTGTCTCGCATAAATTACAACCAAAAAATGAAATGCACAACAAGGGTTTAATAAATTGTACAACTGAGAAAAATGAAAGTCGACATAAAAGTTAAACGAACGTAAACAGGGCAAGGTTAGGGATCAAGTCCGCCATTAGGTGGCGGCTCAACTCGAAACTGAAAGTGAAAAGCTAGAAAATTTGGTTAAACAGGTTTTTTTAAGAAAAAGTTGTGAAATTAAAATATTAATCCTTATTTTAGGAGTTTTAGTGTTAATTTAAAAAAATTTAATTTATAAAAGGAGTTTAATTTTAAAGTTAAAATTTTTAATTATGTTAAGTTTTATTTTTTTTAAAAAAAATCTTAGCTTTTTAAAAAGAGTTTTTTTTTTTTTTATACATGTTAAGGAAAAAAAAATTTATGAAGTGTTTTTAAAAAATGGGTTTAAAAATAAGTTTTTGAAAAAGATTTTAATTTGATTAAGAGTTTTAAATTATGATTTCAAAAATGGTTTTTAATTATTAAGTTTAAAAAAATGGTTCAGTTTACGTTTGAAAAAACTAGTTTTAATTTTAGTTTTTTTATTTACGTTAAAAAGAAGAAGATGGTTTTAAAGTTAAAAATGATGGTAATTTTAATTTTAACATTTTTTAGAAATAAGTTTTAATTGGTTTTTAATTATTAAACTAAATATACTTTAACATAGTTTTAATTAAACTAAATACTAACAAAAAAATACAAATTAAAAAACAAAAATAAAAATAAATAAAAGAAAAGAGGAAAACGTGCAAAATAAAAGAGGGAAGTGAGGGGCATTTGCTGAAATTGTGTTACTAGGGTTTGTTGAACCCTCCTTCTTCTTCCTATACGACGCGGCAGCGGCCCTTCCACTGTTGAACTTCTTGAAGCTTTTTCCTTCCTTCGTTTTGCTCCCATTTTTGTTCGCATGGCACCTGAAACAAAAACAAACCGTGAAAGCAGATTTGCTCACCCTTTAACAGGTTTGAAGCGAGTTATTGGTCGGTCGCTGATGACGATGATGAAGCGGAGCTTCTGAGTCTCGTAGATCTAGTATCCTCTTTTTTGATAGTCTGGTGGTGAACCCTTCCTCGCTTCTTGTTCGTGACCCTTTTGTTCTTGCGGCTGAACCTCACTGATGAGTCTTTTTCTTTCTTTTGATGAACTCGTGGAGAAGGGTTCTTGATGTTCGTCCCCTTTCTATTATTTTGTGATGAACTCTTATTGTGATGATTTTGTGGGCCTGGACCCTCTTTGTTGCAATTTTTTTGACGATTTATGTTGTTGGCTTGTTATTGAGATTTTTTTAGGCTGATTTGTTGATCTCTTTGACCTATTGCGTTTGAACTAGAGCAATAACTTTTGGGAAACTTGTTACGCCTCAGATTTGGAAATTTATTATTGCGTTTTTCTTGCAGCAATTTGTTGCGCTTTGATCTTGTTTGGTTGTTGTTGGAGTGCGTTTTTCATGGCTGTGCTTAGATAGTTTGTTTGATCCGTTTTTGTTGTTGTGGGTTTCCGGATGTTGTTGTTGGCTAAATTGAATATCCATTTCTTTATTTGGATTTGGGTATCCACTTTTCTTGGTGGATTTTGGATATCCATTTTGATTCCATGGATTTGCTGGATTTTCTTATGCTTTGTTTGGCCTTGAATGCGAAAATCCATTTTTTGAAAAACGCTTTTCCAAAAGTCACTTTTTTCTCTCTTGGAATACATGAACAAAAATCTACCGGATTTGCCGAGGTCAGAAATTAAAAGTCGGGAGTTGGCGATGACCTTGTCGTTGTTGCCCTCCCGACATACCCGATGATGAACTTTAACTGAGAGTATCAGAATAATTAGTAAACAAACTATTTCTGATTAATTCTAACACGTTAACCATTGTTTTCATCTGTTGTCGGTATTTTTGCAGGTCCAAAAAAGTCGAAGATTGAAGATCGGCGCGAAGACCATTAGGACTTTAGGGACTAATTAAAAATGGATTGGAAATTGTAATCATTTTTGTATATTGTAATAAAAAAATATAGAATAAATAAATTCTATTTTTCTTAATAAACTGAATTCGTTTCCGATCAAATTTCTCCGAGTAAACTCATTCGATTAAACTCAAACAAATAAATTCATTTAATTAAATTTATCTGATTAAGTTCCTCCAGGTAAATTCGTCTGAGTAAATTCCTCCAAATAAGTTCGTCTAATTAAATTCAACCAAATAAATCACCCAATTCATTTCCTCTGACTAAACTCATCTGACTAAACTTCGACGTTCCAACTCTGAATTCGAGCAATCAGAATTGCGTCCAACGTAAAACTAACCGCTGAGGATTAATCCATATTTGATAATAAAAATTGGTGGATATTTCCGTTGACCAAGAAACAGAAAAGTCCAATTAATAATATGAATTTTCTCCTGACCAAATTCTCTTGACAAAAAATTTAGTGTTTCAACGTCCGATTTTGCCAGTTAGACATCTCACGCAATTTA